ATCTACACAAACGATCTGCCATACACTTATGTTTAAGATAAGCATTCCAAAAATAAAACAATTCCTTTTTTATTAAAAAAAAAAAAACTAATTACATAAAGTGAACGACAGTAAAATACACCAGTCGTGTACAATTTAATAAATACAACTTATGACCAAAAATATCAAAATATAAAAATAAATTTAATACTTTCTAAAAATCGTCGTCATCTGAATCATCAAATGTGTACTTTGACTTTGCGGCCCCTCTGCCTGGTCTCACAGACCTCACAACTTCCGGCGACTCAGATACATCACTATGACTGGCAACTTTATCAAATTTGTCTAATTCAAAATCACTATCATTTTTCTTACTTTTGCTTTTAACAGGACGGAAATCTTCGTCATCAGTGGAATCATTCTTTTTTGAGCTTTTCGTTTTCTTAGCAAAATCATCATCACTTGAATCACTTTTCTTTTTCTTTGTTTTGGTCTTTTTAGAAGACGATTCATCATCGCTGCTCTTTTTCTTTTTCTGTCTGGGCTTTTTAGGTTTGGGTTCTTTTGATTTTGGTTTAGGTTTGGATTTACCTCCAAATATATCATCATCGCTGGATATTGTCTGCGATTTTGTTTTTTTTGACGATGCATCATCTGAGTCTGATTGACTTTCATCTACTTTCTTTCTCTTGTTGCTAACCTCTGAAGTTTTGCTTTCTTCTTTTTTTCTTCCGATTAGCGAATCAAACATATCTTCAGATGTTTCATGTCGAGGAGGAGGCTTTTCCTCGTCGTCTGAACTGACCAGCACTTCTTGACGATTTGTTTCCATAATAGCACCATTTTCAAATAATTCGGGTTCATCGTCCGATTTTTCTTCTTCATCGGAAAGGCTGTATTTGATAACTTTGGCGGAAGCCCTCCGATTCAAAGTACGTTCTTTGATTAGTGGGCTGCTTACTCTGAATTCTACATCCGACCCACCTGAAAAATCTGATATGTCTTCTGAATCTGAATCGTCTTTCTTCTTCCTGCCTTTCTTCTTAGGAGATCCGTTAGCTGAAAAATATATTATTTCATTGTATACTATCTTGCAACTTAATAATAAACAATTTTTAGGATTATTCATAAATTCATACACAGCCCATTGCCTCCCTTGTGAATCTAACTTTTTAGGTACATGTAACAGATACCTGACTGAAAAACAAGAACTAACCCAGCTAATGTCGCGCATAAAGCTGAAGTAAAACCATCGGACATCTGTGCGTCTCATATAACTTCATGTGAACCTACGTAGATACACATGAGAGGCAAGGAGTAAGATGTTTTTCACCCGAACTTGGGCATGTCATGTGACTCCCACCCCGAAATTAATTTTATTTGTTGGGGATACTCAGAAGGTTCACTCCATCAGAAATGACCTGCCCGGTATTGACGAGGAGCCAGTACTCCGAAATCGGTCTATCGGTGGTCGTCCCGACCAAATGAAATTAATTTCTGCTTCTCATATATAGGAAGTTACTTGCGACGAATATTCTAAATGTAAGACGTTGCACAGGTGCCTGATTGTTTTACTTCAGATTTCTGCGCGGCAATAGCTGGGTTAGTTGTTGTTTTTCCATTGGGTATCTGCCACACGTACCTACAAAGTCGTAGATCTACATAAGAGGCAAGGGGTAAGGTGTTTTTCACCTGAACTTGGGAATATCATATGCACCTCTCCAGAATATATTTATAACAGCCCAGCTATTGATAGGAACTTTTGTTTCATGATAAAACGAATTTCAATAAATTTCATCAGCTACATTTTTTAACAATTGTAACGAATACACATAAAATGTTGTTTAAGAACATATTGTAAATTTATATAGCCCAAAACACGTGTCTATGTTTTGCCACTTTCTTGAGTGTTATGTCTGATAAATTATCTCCTGTATTCAGACATTCAAGAACCTTTGCATTTATATCATTTCCTAGACCTGGATGTTGCGCAGATAGCTATAGCTGCCTACGTGGTGATATTAGTAGCATTCTTGTAAACACAAGGTCTGGGAAAATTTCCATGACCATTCTCAGTGTGGCGCTGACGGCACCATCTTTTGAGACAGACAGAAAACTACTCAAAATACATTCATTAGGACCCTCGTATAATTTGAGGGTCATCTTCCAAATATCCAGTAGATTACCAACGATGAGATCAATGACTGGATTGGATCTTAAATGCAACACTTATGAGCTCTGGTATCATTAAGATGTAAGATTTTAGAGGAAGCCAAAGATGGTGGTATCTTTATTGAGGAATGTGTAGTAATTATTTCTTGTAGTATACACCAATGCTGCAGGCGTTATTAGGTTCGAAAACTAGTATTTAAAAATGAGGCCCATACCTTTGGGGAAATTGAGTTTGCTTTGTTTCAATCCATCTCCTCCTGCTTCCTTCTTTTTCCTTGCCTTCTTTACAACATCTTCAGGAGTTCCCAACTTTTCTTTCAGTGTCTTCTTACTCTTCACCATATCGTCAAATTCGTCCTGTTCTTCCTATATGAAAGAAAAAGTGAACAACTATCTTAAAAAAATGTTCTTTTATATCCAACTCACATCTTCCTCTGTGTTCACTTCCCTTTTAACTCCTTTCTTTAATCTACTTTCTTTGCTCTTTACTGCAACTTGAATTTTTTTCTTGATGTCTTCACTGATTGTAGGTTCGACTCTCTGGGCATTGGAAGAAGGCATTGTTTCAAAGATTTTAACTTTTTTCTTACCCTGAAAAATTGAAAGAAAATAGTTAATCCCTTTATAGACCGAGATCTGAAGGTCATCCACTGAGATTTGTATTGTTCATTAATAATATGTCTGAATACACCCATGAACACAATCGCAAAAAACTAATCCGTTTCGCCCATGATACTGGTGTGATTATCTCAAGGGAAATTTCGATGATATTGTGTCAAATGTACGATCTAATATTGATTCAATGATGAGTTTTAGCAAAGTAAACAGGTTAATTTCAAATAACGCCAAAACAAAATTCATACAGATTACACCAAATTCAGAAATTGTGATATCGATATGATAAATTCTTACCCTTCCCGTCTTCGTGGTATCCTATGCAGCATGAAAAAAATCAAATTAAAAATTTACTGAACAATTATGCTGTATTCAATAATACAAACTTCTGAAAAAGAATATCAGATTTCTGCATAAAAAGAAAACTGAAAACATAGAATGAGGACTTACTTTACAGATTATCGTACATATTTTTGATACTTGGTGTTATAGTGTTGTAGTGTTATTCTTCACATTACGTCAATATTTTTCGTTCAAATTATTTGCTGCTTTTGGTTTATTTATACCTTCTAAAAGATCATGTTCCAACTGCACATTTGACTGTTTGGCCATAACGGCCACTTTTATTTGTATTTAAATACTTCTTTTTGTGTTTTCAATACGAAAAGAGCTATAACCACAAGATATTCGGTATACTTCCTGGGGTCTTTGGCTGACCTGAGACTATTTTTTATTGTTTTCATGTGTTTGAAAGTGAATATGAATCCATGATTTCGTGGAATGTTCGAATAAGGCCTTACAAAGAACAGATCTTCCACTGACAGTCTGTTCCAGTACTACAGAGGCAAAAACCCACTAAAAAAGGCCCTTGGCGTTCGGCGGTTTTATGAAAACTGTGTCAGCAACAGTTGACACTGGTCAATAGACAAGGTCCGATTCTGCTCCATGATAACCCGCATCTGCATGTTTCACAAATCACCATCCATAAGTTAAACGAATTGATCGTCTAAGTTCTGCTTCGTCCACCATACTCCCCAGACCTCTTGTCAACGGACTACTATGTTTTCCGGAACTTCAATTACTTTCTCACCAGTAGAACCTCCAGCAATGCTATGTTATGTATCACTACTATTTTATTCTACTTAGCGGTTAAGTTTTATCTTAAATGGTCATTTATAATTGTTTATTGTCTTTTAATTTTTTACTCAGTGCTAGTGTGCATCTGCTTTCCTTTTGACCTGTCATAATTGTATTGAATGCATAACATGATGAAATAAATTCTGTCAGTCAATCAGGACCGGGCAAAAATGGCCTTTGTCGACTTCATTAAATTCCGAGCACCTAAATTTTATGCTGACAGGATTAATCGACTTGTGTTACGTTGCCAAAAGTGCACTGATTCAAATTACGGCCATTTTGCTTAAATTGATTAAGTATTCACTGAGTAAAGACATGCTTTAAGAAGCCATTGTATGACGAAACACTTGTTGCGTTTTTGTAAAACTGTTTAGTGAAAATCTCACAATAAAGTGTTTTTTGAATATGCTAGTTATGAAGTTTCATCAAGTATCAGTCAATTCCATTATATATTTACTGAGATATTACAGTTCAGAGTAGACTCATAACAAGGAGCAAAGCTTTTGAAACAACCTAATACTTTGAAGGATGTATAAATGCCTTGGAATGGACCAATCTTGGTAGATTGAGCCAGAAGTCTGAAACTCTTCTTGTAATCCAGATATTAGTGTTTTGTAAAGCCTAAAAAGATACCAATAACAGGTAGCGCCCTCTTTTGCAAATAAGTCAGCAGCTTTATTACTGCTTGGCTGTACAAAAATATTTTCAATGATCTGTACCTGAGGATGATTACTGCCATTCTCTTCATACACAAATCGAATACGTAGTAGGTATGTGACTAATCCTAGAAGCCTAATTATGACCAAATCTTAGGAAATTATTGGCTCGACGACAAGCAAGTCTTTGCGTCTTGCTTTTTTTTTCAAATAGCAGATTGTTTTATCTTTGACCACCAATGAGTACAAAAAATTATCATGTCAGGTTTCATCAGCCACCATATCTTCCAATTATTTTTGGTCAGCGTCAATGCTAATTCTGCTTTTTTTCATATCCTATCTAAGAGACAGTTTCAGGTCGGTCTGGAATCTAGCATCACCCCCAAAAAAATTCCCCAACAGTTGTATCTCTACACCAAGAAGTTACAGGATCCTCTTGGCGATTTCAATTTAAATATAAATATCAATTTTTTTGTTGGACAAATGAAAACAATTTCTTTCAACTTATAGAGACAAACTTCACTTACTGGTTGAGACTTTTGTCTTTTCTGTATTTCCTGCATCAGCTCATCTCTTTCCTTTTTCTCCAGTTTATCAAGCTGTTCAATGAATACATCAAGATCTTCTCTCCACAAGTCAGAAGGTGACTTGCGTTTCAAAACATCCAGTTCCGTCAATTTATTTTCTTTCTGCCTGAGTAATTCATTCTTCCTTTCTTCGGTCAACATCCACATCGACAATCCCAACAGATAATCAAATTTCTTGACATCAGGACTAGTTTTTTCCGAGTACTCTTTTTTCTTCTTTTTGGAAGATGTTTCTTCAGAATCATCTTGAGATTCTTCATCTGCAGGTTCTTCGGCCTCTTCTTCTTCCTCTTCCTCCTGTGTTCGTGCCTTCCACTCCATGACCGGGTCTGGAGCGTATCCCCTTCTGATCAACTCATCAACTATGGTTTTCCTTTTTTTGTTTTCAACCGTGATTTCGCCAGTACATTTTTCCAATATGAATCTAGCCTGATTACTCAATTTGGCTGCTTCTGCTTCTAGGATACCCAGAAGATAGTCTTTACGCTTCTGATACATTTTCAAGCGAACAGTATAAAATTCTTGGAGTATGTCCATAACCGTATCAAAGCTGAAATAGCAAGGAACATTAGTGAGAAATACTGCCTAATGGGATTTTAAAACCTTTTCAAACAACCATATTCGTCGAACGCGTTCATAGAGTTGGTATTAATGAGACTCTGCAGTTTGAACGCTTTATGTAATCCTTCCTTTTCCATGGTTTGCATTTGTCCGTTTTGCAAGGATACAACAAACTTCACGGTAGCATCTGTACTGTAATCCTTATAGTCTGACAAAACTGCTTTTACTTTTTCAGTACCTACGACAAACAAAATTAATTTCATCAAAAACTCAGAACTCATTCTCACCATGATTCATTGGTTCAAGAACATTTTCCTTATAATTTTGGGTCCAGGTTCCAATGGGAAGTTCCGTAATCTCTACTGTGTCATTATCAAGTATAGCTATTTCTCCACTAACTACATATCTGCCATCCCCTCCATATTCAATTGTACCAGTGAAATTTTTGTACCAAGGTATGAGTTCCTTTGGTTCTTCTCCATCCAACAGTCGTCTGATATTTTTCACCAGATCCCGAGGATTGTAATTGGGAATTCTTGTCATCCAACCTGTACCAATACCATCAGCACCATTGACTAGTACCATAGGTATTATGGGAATATACCAATACGGTTCGATTTTAACATTATCATCGTATTCATGTTTGAGCAACGCATCATCATGTGGATGGAAGATCAATCGAGTCAAAGGAGACATTTTAGTGAAAATATACCTTGGACTTGCAGAGTCCTTTCCCCCTGTCAGACGAGTACCGAATTGACCTCTCGGTTCCAAGAGGTTGATATTATTGCTGCCGACATAGTTTTGGGCCATACCAACTATCGTCATTGCCAGAGAAGTATCACCGTGATGGTATCCAGACTTTTCTATAACGGAACCAACAAGCTGGCCTACTTTAACTTCCTTCTTATCATTGCGTTTTATACATACATACAGGACCTGAAATATTCAACAAACGTAGTGAAAAAACTGTCCTACCTTGATACATCAAACAGTTATCAAGTAATGACTTTCCAATTTAATACTAAAATTGCTGAACTCATTATAATGTATCAATGAGAAAAATAAAAAAAAACAAAGACAATTCTCCATTCAATTTCTGACCATACAAATATGTACACATACAGAAACACAACTCCACATATGTTCGTAACTATATACAATACTACCAATAGAAAATTCATAATAAAAGAATATGCTAATCTAGTTCTATCCCCAATACTATATGATTTTAATTCTACTGACAATTTTTTAAATTCCTTTTTTGGATTCATTTATATTCCTCAAGTATATCTTCATTTCCATGAGAGGTTTTTTTTTTGGATGTTACTTCATATACATTACACTCATTTGTACTCTTTGTCGAATTTTTTTCTTACCTTCCTTTGACCAGGTTTCATACCATCCACCAGACTTGGAATTGACCTAATGTTATCTCCATTGGAAAATAAAACGAGTTCCATGTTGACAAAATCAGCGAAAGATATAAATTTAGTTTCTTTGCCATAAAGATATTTTTCTGGCAAACCAATTTCTTTCCTTCTTCTGCTTTCTACCATGAAGTTAGTCAGCCATTCTTTTCTTAGATCGATATGTTTTTTGCTGAAAGCGAGTAGAATGTGGTCATCGTCTTGCTGACCACTGTATCTGAATCTGATTCGATGCCTATCCATATTGCTAAAATACTCTCGTCCCTCTTTAGGATCGGATGTTCCCAAACCTGAATACAAACAAATATTACAAAATATTCAGTAGAATTTATAGTATTGACTTTATTTCAACTTTCCCAAGAAACATTGGCTGTTTATAATGGGAAACTCAAAGTGTATAAAATATATAAACATGTTCAAGGATAAATTGTCAAAAGTGAAAATACTATTCATCATTCTAAAGTCAAAGGGATGATCTAACTGAAAAAGAAAGTTTGATTTTTTCACAGCACTTGATAGTGTTAACCGTGAAACCTATATAAATTAATTTCAAATCATTTTATATAGTAGACAATGGAAGTCCGAACTAGTGAAATTCAATTAGTTACAGATTGCGATATGCGTGAAATCTTGTGCTACAGTTTCCAACATTAATTTAACTTGATTTGTTGCGAACTTCTACTACAGCTTGCCAATCAGTTCTCATAGAAATATTTCATGTATGGTCGTTGGCTATTTTATATCTGACTCGATAAATTTTTTTTGGCCTTCAGCTAAAACATAACTCACTGTTATTGGAAATATTTCAAATTGAATGTTTACGCTATAGTGAATGCAATTATTTCATTTTATTGCCATAATTCATATGACTCTGATGAAGGTGACCAATGTTGTCATCTTACATTTCTTAAATGGATTTTTTCAGGCGGAAGTTAATTGAAATTTACTGCAAGTCTGTGAATAAGGAATTTCATAGGAATTCAGTGAGGATTCGTCCTAAAGTAATCGACAATTTAAGCAACATTTCCAGTGAAACCTTCCACACGGAAATTGGTCAAAGAAACAAATATATGAATTTGCCCGTTATGAGTCTACAATGTGTTGCTGAAAAAATGGATGTCAATTCTTTGTTATTCCTGAAAACAAACAGCAGTGAGGGTTATCATAGTGTAGTGTATTGGTATTTTATTTATTAATTTATTTCTTTTGCAGACCAAACCTTTTACACAACCTATTTCCTCAGAGTACAAATATTTATAGATGACGAAGCAGAATCAAATTGCGAGAGTAATTTATCTTTGAACGACATTGTTTCAGAGATAAAACAGAAACTATAAAAGAAGAAAACTGGAATGGAAAACTATGAATAAGATATGATGCAATAAGATTCAATGCATTTTCCTTCTCTACACTTGCTGAAAGTTTTCGCACTAGAAATTTATATTTATGAAACACACTGAACATTTCGGTTTTTTAACATTTTTCCAAAATAGCTGGCCTCAACTTTAGATGTAATAGGCAAGTACTAATTCTGATATATAGACATCTAAAATGTCTCACTGATATAGGAAAAGCAGTATGCAAAATTTTGAAAAATTCAACACATCTGAAAATGTTCCCTTTAATGTCTTGATCATATTAGTGAGAGGACATATTAGTTAAAATTAGCATCTTAACATTTGATCATTTTCTTGAAATCACAAAAAAAAACATGAGTTTTTCACTATTGCATGACACCTGCATCATCTCTTGCACTGGCCCAAAAAATACCAAACCTATATCTCTAGGTCTTCTATAGAGAAAATCAGTTTCGTCGACAAGCAACTGACTGATAACAAATTTAGCTACTTCAACTTAACACTAATAAAGAGGACAAGCAAAAATATTATTGCTAAATAATGTTTTAACGGTGGCGTCTGCCATTTTATGAGAAACTTTATGAAAGAAAAGCTCACCCTTATATCTGCCATTTTTCACTTATTAGCAATCACAATGGTCTACGTTATGTTGAAATATCAGAAAAACATTGTCAAATCAGCTCAATTCTGAACAATTTCTAGATTCTGAAAACAAACAATGGCTCCACAATAAACCACTCGTTTGGAATTGATACTTCTCGTGCCTAGTCGCGTGTAATCGTAATATTTTCAAATTTGGCCAATAATAAACTTCATTTTAAATCAATTGACCAATCACAGGGATAATAAATAAACCAATCTTCACTTTTAGCGGCTCTAAGNTCTTTTCAATAAAAAAATGTAATTATCCATCAGAAATACAATTACTACTGAATTACAGTCACATATCAAATTTTAAGCAGATCTTCTAAAATGCAGGCACTTATAAATTACAGAAAATAAAACATTCATGAAATTTCACCAGTATATGTATATAAATATTTATAAATCATTAATTACATCTTACATGATTTTTGTCACATTGCTTGCATTAAAAGCATTTTTAAAATTGTAACGTTTTTTAGTACGGTAAAAATAGTCGCTGACAAAGATAAAACTTAACAACTTATTTACAATAAATAGTAATAATAAAATTTCAAATTAAAAGATCAACTCAAAAATATAATAAAATAATGTCAGTTTGAAATATTAACACAGATATCGTGATTCGTAAAGCTAGAGAACAATTTGTGCTTAACAATGAATCTATTAGAACTAGATCTTGTTTGTTGAGAATTCACAGCTGGTAACCAAGAGAATTTCTTCAGAAAAATGAAAAATTCTTGTCCGTTATTGGATTTGTGATGTAGGACCTAAAAAGATAATATTAATAAATTTCTCGGTGTCTGAGAGCCATAAAAAATCTGTGACAGCAGCGTTAAAACTTGCAAGAATTGAATTATTATTTATTCTTCAAGAAATATACAATTTGTTTATAAAATGGAAAATGGAACAAGTCAGTGATAGGTTAGGTTTTATTATGACTCATACTCGACCAAATAAACCCAACTTATTACTGAAGCCGATTTTTTTATGGTGAGTGATCTTTCAGGTCAGATGGTAAAAGTGCGGCTCTACCAAACTCTGAACAGAGGCGACATAGACTGTCTTTCAATAGTCTGAGTCTCTGTATGTGATGATTTACACGACAGTGACCTGTGAGAAGGCTTGTTAGACATCATAGTTCATCCCTACTGTAGTCCAACAACTGTTTGGATTCAAGCTTCGAAGCGTGAATGAACGCCTTGGAGTGAGCCAATCTTGGAAAATTTTGCCAGAAGTCCATGAATCTTCTTGCCATCCAGGTGTTGAATCTTTTTTTGGCAAAGCCTGAAGCGATGCCAATGGACAGGTTCTGGTCCGATGAAGCTGCTTGTAACACCCTCCAAAGACAGTTTGTTGAGTCTTCCTATTGAGGAGAGTCGTTTTTGGCAATTTGCTACCAATTTAGATGTTGCTTGGTAGGAGCCAAGAGGAAAAGTGAACAAGTCAGTGATAACATAAACAGTAAAAACTCAAACAATAAAAATGGAGCAAAAGAAAAATTGAATATGAGTTATGAGTTCAGAACGGTAACCAATAAGTAATTACAAAATAAATTATAACGGAATGATACACAAAAAAATAAAAATCTTCAAGACAACAAACAATTCAGCTCAGAACATGGACTGTTCAACAAATAAGGTGAATGTTCAAATTTTGCGATTTTTTTTATTTTAGTATACTCGTCTCGAACATTATTCACAGTTTCAGCTGTTTGGCACGTTAAGTTTGTTGATGAGAGGCATAAAAGTTAGAAACGTTTTGCGTGTTCAGTAATTTTCTGCAATTGATAAAAAATGATTTCCTATATATTCCTTATAAAATATGGATTTGTATTATCTGTGACATTGGATTAGTGTTTTCTACTACATATGTGCAAAGCAAGCTATTTCCAGTATATACAGGTTGATAACTGTTAAAATGTCTAGGCGTTAAAAAAAAAGTGGCTTGCATGGTTCTAAATAATGACAAATAGTGTGGTTTGGTATTTTCATCTCTTCCACTGGAAGCTTATGTTGCTTCATCTGATACAAAGGATGGAATAATTAAGAACTTTCTTCTCTCTCAGAAAAATGAAATAACTTCCTTAGTATGTGAGCAACGAGAACTGAGTTTCAACTGATGACTGGCAGCTGGCGAGAAAAAAATAACAATTACTACAACAAGAAATATACCTTAACACCTCTTGTAGATGCAGCAACGTCAAAAGCCCTTCTTGACATTAATCCTACTATCCCTTCATCTAATTTGTCCATTTTGAACTTTGTTAAATCTGGACTGAATGTGATCTTTGTGTAATCTTCTCCAGATGCATCTTTTACTCTAGGTTCCGATGCTCTTGTCATATTGCTACCCCAGGTTTGTTTGAATTGTTTTTTATATTCGCGGGAAGATGTTTCGACAGTAAATTTATTACTAAAAATGTTGCACAGTTTGGCACCATAACCGTTTCTACCACCAGTTACTTTTTCTTCTTCGTCGTTGTAATTCGAAGAAGTGAGAAGGTGACCGAAAATCATAGTCGGGACATACATGTTTTCTTCTTTATGCATTGCTACTGGAATACCTTGTCCGTTATTCCATACTGAGATTATATTTTCTTCAGGATTTATCTCAACTTTGATGCAATCCATTTTTTTGTCTCTTTGTTTATTGTCTGCAGCATTGACCAATATCTCATCAAAAATTTTGTATAAACCTGGAACATATTCTATTTGCTTTTGAACCATTATTTGTTGTTCTGTGTCATATATCCACATAATTTCTGTCACTTTTTCAACGGAGCCAATGTATGTGTCAGGACGCAATAGGATATGTTCTAACTGGGACTTTTTTTGATACGTTTTCTCGATTGTTTGCTTTTTTGGAGGTTTATTTGTAACTTTGGGAGGAGGCTCTGATTCTACATTATCTTTTTCACCATTCTCATTTCCATTAGATGTGGAATTAAACCTCAACAACGTGATAATTTTTAATAAAATAAGCCAATTTCAATTTTTTTTTGTTTTGGTACCATTGCAGCTGACGGTACTCAAAAGTACCGCCAATTTTTTTCAAAGAAAGATAATTCGTAAAATTTTCAAAAAATTAAACCCTCATTTTCAATCACCTAAATAATATAACTACAAAAAAAAACAAATATTTTCGATTATTTCAATACTCCGGCAACTAAGGGTTAAACTAAAAAGTTAAAAGAAAGTAAAAGAACAAGGGCAAAAAGTTCATATCAGAACTGCATTGAGGATTGGAGGGGGGCTACTTTGAAGAGGACAAAATAGAAATTGATGAATAAATGTATCTTTTTTGAGAAAAATTAGCAGCGTATGTTATTCAATACAACACATAAAAAAGCATGAGTATATAATTTTGTAATAAATTTACCTTTGTAATATTTGACGGAGTAGGTATGATGATTGGGGGTATTTGCTTTCCATTCTTCAAACTCAGGTAGAGAGTAGAATGACAAACACTCGTTCTTCTTTCGTGCTTTGACAATGGGGGTGATGAACTGCTCAAGAAAATCCCGTTGCAGCAATTCGGGCCAATTGTGATGTATGAAATTGATGAGCAAACCCTTAATGTGGGACCCATCCTGATCCTGATCAGTCATTATCATAACTTTGCCGTACCTTAAAGTTTTCATATCCTCGATGGAATTATATTTCTTTTTATACTGCAATCCAAGGATTTTGATTATATTATTAATTTCGACATTTTCCAGTATTTGTTTGTGCGTGGCTTCTCGTACGTTTAATAATTTACCTCTTAGTGGAAATATACCGTAATGATCTCTGCCTACCACTCCCAGACCAGACACGACGGTACTTTTGGCTGAGTCTCCCTCAGTCAAAATCAGAGTACACTTGAGTGCATTCTTTGTTCCAGCTTCGTTTGCATCTTCTAGTTTGGGAATGCCTTTCAGTTTGCTTTGTTTCTTTCCACTGGTTTTAGCTAACTCATTCTGGGCTTTGAACTTGGCCCACGAAAGTACCGATTCAACTATGCCGCTCTTGGTTACTTGATTTATGAACTTCTCACTGAGTGTACACTTGGATCCGAAACTTTTCATTTGCAAAGTCATATGTTCCTTAGTTTGTGAATCGAATGAAGGATTGACGATGAGACAATTAATGAAGACCCACATATGTGTTTTCACTTGAAACGGTTTGATATTGACACCACCTTTGTTTTTCTTTTTCAAGACCTCTATGAGCTGTTTCACAACCATATCAACGATATAATCAACATGTCGACCACCTTTAGAAGTTGCAATACTGTTGACGAACGAAACTTGTTGAAAGCCCCTATCAGAAATTGTTAAAGCAACCTCCCATCTTTCATTAGCCTGCTCGTAAACTACTTTTAGAGGGTTTCCTGTATCATCCTCTTTTCCTTTGATGTACAAGTCAATATAGTCTTTAAAAGACTTGACTGGTAATTTTTTACCATTCAAAAAAACCTAAAAAAAGATTGTTATAGTATATCGTACTAATTCAACATCTTTACTATGTATATTTTGAAGTCACTTTCTGATGATTGAAAGAAGATGACATCTTACACTTTATTTTGTGAATTTTAGACAAATTTTCTACAAAAGTGATGTAAACACTATGAAAGTCAGATTCCTGTTAAGCTGAATGAAGTATCTTTTAGCATTTGCTAAAAAATATTTTGACGTCTGATCTAGGAATCGCAAGTTGAAAGGTAAGACCTCGTTAATCCATAGCTCATACGTTTTGACTTTTGGGGGTTGTCTTTCGTCGGGGGGAGGGGGGGGCAGGTGGTTGAAAGAAAAACATATTTTTTTAAGTAAAGTAGAAAAATGTGGAACCATAATATTCAAATGAGTTGGTAAAAATATATGAATATGAATAAATATGATCTCTGATCTCATCTAGTAGTATGTATCTATATTTCATCATAGTTTTTTTTGCTTGTTTACAATTTCTTGCAAGAGGGAGCTCTAACAATGTACAGAATCAAATCATTTTGTGAGTATTAGTTAATGAATAGGGAAAAAATATAATTAACGAAACTCAACTCATATTATTTTAAGGTTTCATTCTCCAAAACGAGAACTGTATCCATTAAACACATTATTGGGTTATTAAGAGTTTAAAATAATTTTTGACGGAAGGGACCAGTCTTCAAAAAGTGCTATAAATAAATTCAGTTCCTTTGTTGATTATAATAATTATTATCAATCCAATGAAGTAACATACAGGCATAGGATACGTCACATAAGTAAAAAGAGTAAATTCTAAAATAGACTTAAAAGAATATCTGTTTAAAATTTGTCTAGCAGTGGCCAAGACGTTGTGTTATCAGCAGGTGACGTCACGCCCAGTCCAAATATTGTCATGTCAATGTATTTTATTAGTTATTCCAGCGCACCATTACCGCAAGATGGATGTTCAAACCTCCAGGAAAAAATATGTCAAAGTGATTCCGAAAATGACTTTTGTTTCAACAATAGAAATTGCAAGATAGAAAAATTAATTAGCAATGTGCAAATGTTTCCCAGAGATCCATTCAGAGATTGAAAACCACCACTCAACAATATCTGAAAATATGGAAGATAGACAGTGTTTAACGCCTCTGTGAATGAAATACCGAAGAACGTTGAATCTTTGTATTTTATGAAGAATCCAGAGGGCCGTAGATCGATGATTTCGTCAAAATGTTTCATATAGGGAGTTGTCAAAGTGTTTACACACTATTTCTATGCACCTTGATGTACTTTATTTGTATGTGAATATTGAAGTAAAACCATGGTATGAACTATCGGACAAGAGTACCCACGATACATTCGGTGTGGAAAAAGATGCATACAAACCCGATTCCCTTTTATTTTGTCAACAACTCTTGACAGGAAAAATGAGGTTGACCCAATTTTGTACAGATGCTGGTAGATGACTCAACTGCTCTTCCCTAAATCCGGCACTGGCTATTGAGATTGTGTGTTGACTGCAGTGAACTCTATACTATGATGTATGGCGTATAGTCACAGAACACCCTAACTACAGGTGTTCTGTGGTATAGTATTAATAGTATAGTCACAGTATTTCTGTATACAAAATACTGTGGTATAGTATAGTATAAACTATAACATTTCACTGGTTGACTGTGAGAGTGAGGTCATAATTCAAAGCACCATATATAAAGTTCTATAGGGTGCTCAGTCTTACCAACGATAAT